TTGTCCAACTTTTGGAAAATGCGGTTTTTTTTTTAGGTTTTGGACTTACCAACGTTAGTCCGCATTGCCGCAAAGTTTTGTATTGGATCCAAGTTCCTTCTTGGGTAGTGTTTCTGATTTGTTTCGCTGTTGGCTACAAGGCCCTATGGAGGAAACATCTAAGCCTTGAGAGCGAGCTAACAAGGGGAAAGCAGACCGTTTCTACAGGTGTCACCAACATATGCAGTCACGTAGGAATCAGTATCGCTGAAGTGGTTATGAAAAGTGCCCTTGTGTCTCAAGTGAAGCTTTCAACGGGAATATTTTTCTCCAAGTGGCAGCAAAGGGATCTCCAGGAACTTGAAAACAGAAGAGATGAGCTTCAGCAAGTAATGAACAATTTAAAATAGTGCATCTTTTAAGACCTTGTCTTTTGTTATTTAATAATTAACTACGGGTACAGGCCCTTCTTTCTTAGCTAAAATTATGGGAAAATATCAACAACAACATTTTCCTATAATAGCTACACAGAGAGCATATACAATCACTAAAAGAGAGTATTCTGTAACTAGTATGCACATAACTATCACCTAATCTGTGCTTCTTGTCAGCTTATACCTTTCAACCTAAAGATGTTCACTGGTTGGGGAGGGAGAATACCAGGGAAATCACCAGGGTATACCCAAGAGAGTAAAGTGGGGATGCAAGTCATTGTAAACCTAACTGTATATTAGACTACGGTAACACGCAATTGACCAATCAGATTCCGAGTTTAGAGGTAACTATTTTTGTTAGTTACCTCTTCCGCGGTAACTATTTCGCAGCCCTGCGGCACTTTTCTTACGCGTATGGCCATGGCAACACGCCTTCAAATCGAGAGGACGCCGTGCGAGACGGAAGGCAACGGGAGCTTCTGAGAGGTTCTTTCTCACCAAACCCCAGGTACTCCGTCTTCTAGTAGGAAGCGGTGCATGACTACAGGGCCCTAGCTACAGCTCGAGCCAGACGCGCACGCTAGCGGTGCTAGAAGCGCTCAGCGGCCCCGCCTACTTTCGCGTTTGCGAGCCGCGCCGCCTAGAACAAACACTCTCTACTGCCTTAGTCGTTGTTGTACGCCTGCTCGAACTGGCTTCCAGTTCTTCCTCAGCAAAAAGCTCCGACCCCAGTAAGCCGTGCATCCTCTATGCAGCTAGCGCTGTAGTCTAAGTTGGTTAGATGCGTCGCCTTGGGAACTACGCGATTTAGTGAGCCTCGGACCCTGGTAGTAGCGCCCTCGCTGCGCTCGGGACGCCGACAGCCCCAGGGCCCTCGGCTCACTAAATCGCGTAATTCCCGCGGCTCAGCATCTAACCTATACATATTACACTGCATGGCGGTTGTATTATACTGTGGATTTTTGGTGCTTGTCCAGGTTGTGTGACAGTTCCGCTACCCTTTCCTTTTTCACGCATTTACATGTGTAGCCAGATAAAACTTGTTTTAGGCCACAATTTGTTTATTCTGATGGTTTGTGTCTATGCAGGTACGTATTTAAATGGTCAACGGTAAAAGTTACTTGTATAAAAAATTATACGTTTAACTAGGTACATAACATAGGCATGAGGTATTTGTCAGTCATCGTGTAGAAGAGAGGTGATTTTCTCCCTTTCGGCCGTAAAATCAAGATTTTGATTCAGTCTGCTGAATAAAGTGGTAACTGAGCTTTTCACCGACAGCAGTTTTGGACGTGGGCGGTTTGCATTGCTATATTCTGCCTCCAGTTCCGTGGGGCACATCCTCTCTTTTACTTCTGTTGCAGTTGTAAACAGTTCATTTGCCTTTCTTTTCATAGTATGTACTTTCTCCTTCATTTCCCTGTACTGCTCTTCATAATGTTTGAACCCCCTACCAGCAGTAAAAGCAGCGCTGCCAAATATCACGGCCGGCTTCAGTGCCACAAGGCTCGTAACTAATGCCACTATTGAAACAACGCCGAAAAACCTTTTCCATGCCTTAGAAGTCCACTCTCCGTCTTCAGCAACTGCAAGAACCCTCTGCGAGTCGTCGCGCAGCGCTTTACAGTCTGCCTCGAAACGCGTCAGCAGGCTCACCGCGACACCTAATCGCAGTCCCATCTCCCCGAAAAACTCAACCGTCTCCGGGAACATATCGGTGTCTTCAAGGTTGAAATGAACCACCTGCTCACGTAAGCGCATCCCGATTTCAGCATCCACCTTCTCCCACCGCTCATCGTTGCAGAGTTGGCAGAGTTTGTCTATCTCTCTGATGAAGTTTAGAACATCGTAGCAGATTTTTTTTCGCTGGCTGGAGAAGTCCTCTATCTGACATTTCAGCTGGTAAAGTGTCGAACTCTGCACGGTGAACGTTTCTGATAGAATTGACACGATAGTCTCGGGTGATTTGAGGAAATCGTTTAGGCATGCTTCCAGATTTTCTCCATCGTGGCACAGAGCGAAACCTAGACCCTGACCCGCAAAATCCAAAGCTGCAGTCATTATATTTTTTTGCAATAATAGCGAACTGGAGCGAACCGCGCGATATATAGGACCGTGGGTCGTCCAACTGCGCATGCGTCAGGATTACGCACTTCAAAATTTTACACGCTGCCTGATCCTCCCAATGCGCGATCTCTAGCCAGCGAGAGAACTCTCGTCCATACGGCGGCACCCGCTGCGCTCTTCGATGCCTGACAGAGGCGGTACGTCTCTCCAATCTTCGTGGGTCCAAGATGCAAGTTGGGATGGCTCGTGCAGATACAGTCATTGTGTGATAGGCTTGCTCTTTGGATTGAGATTGTGGAAGACAAACTAGAAAAAGTACATAAATATTTTGAAGCAGTGAGGCAAAAAAACCTGAGGACGCATCTAAAGAAGCTAAACAGAATGAACATGAGGCATGCGGGAGAAGTGTGCATGAACATGAGGCACACGGGAGAAGTGTGCATACCCAAATGAAAACTGGGTACTCAAATATAAAAGCATGTGTATCCAATTGAGAACTCGGTACCCAAATATAAAAGCATGTGTACCCAAATGAGAACTGGGTATATACCCAAATAAAAAAGTGTGTACCCAAATGTATGTACGTATTTAACGAATTTGACACTAATCTCCCCCCATATATCAGGCCATTATGCAACATACAAAACACCTGCAAAACACTTGCTCAGGACTATAAGTATATGAATTACATTACGGAGACTCAGTGTCTGCAAACACCAGCACTATGAATCAGAGGAGACTAAATGTCTGCAAAACACACCAGCATTCCTATATGCCGCAGTCTTGATTGAAACAGCAGCGCAAAGACAAAGTTTTCTTAGCCAACCACACCTACCAACGTTCAAGCTATGGGATCATAAGTTGAAGCTGTTGGGACCTCCAATTTGAGAAGATATCTTTGTTTATCAGTCCAGGGTATGAGGCTAAGGGGTTTGCTGGGGGGAAAAACACCACCTGCTAGACTATGACTTGCATCAGAGAAGACATGAAGTCTGCACAGTCAACACATAGGAGTATATATATATATATGTTATGTACTACGTGCGAGGGACATACCGGATTTCAATGAACCCGAGGGCCTCCGCGTTTGTAGTGTCCCGAGCGCAGCGAGGGCACTACGCGGAGGGCTTGAGGGTTCATTGAAATCCGGTATGTCCCGAGTATACGGAGTACATAACATGTTTAGTGCAGAGCAAATCAGCTCCGTATACGCGCACAGCCGCGTTTCCAAGCAGAGGAAGATGCGAGAGAGAGACGAGAGCGCAAGACCGTCATCTCGTGCGGGACTATTGAACGCCGAACGCTAGGATACGCTGCTCCGCCGCTCTAGCTACTCCGCTTGTGGGACTGTCCTCCCGAAGAAACGCGACAGGAGACCTGCGCGAACCATCGCAATCAGAGAGAGGCGAGACTGTGGAGAATTCAGGCGCTGTGCGGGCTGCTATACCGAAGGCGTTCGCCGTAGACTTAGTAGCTTTGTCGCGCGCACTCGCTCGCGGAGCCCCACCCCCTTATTTGCGTGCGGTGGTTTGTGGGCGGGCGTGAGCTGCCTGGCCATGGCAAGGAGGGAGATGGGCTCAAAGCAGACACAGAAAACTGTCTTGTGGAAAAAGAAAATCAAGATATCAGTTATTTTGATCAACATTTTGTACAGATGTTTTGCGGGATACATTTCCTACATGAAATGCTGTTGAACTTGTTGAAAATCAACAGAAAAAACAAGGTTTCATATCATGTTTTCATGTTACTTTTGTTAGCTCACGAGGTTCATATGAGAAATCAGGAACCTCGTACTAACAAATCTGATTGGTCGATTCGAATCAGCTATGCACTAAGAATATATAGTTATGCATGAGGCTAAGTGTCCCTATGAAACACCACCACCTGCTGGACTATGGGAGAGACATGAAGTCTGGTGTATACATATATACTTTATGGCAGATAGCTAGTAACTTAGGTATACGGCTATAAGGGGTGTGTTGTGAACAGCTAACGGGTTTAGACAACACCTGTGGCAGGACTATGACTTACATCAAATGAGATGTTGCGTATTCTAGGAATTACTATGACTTGGATCATAGAAAACACACATGTATGAGAGGTAAAGTCTGTTCGGTCAACTGCATTCTGTAGCGTAAAAAGACATGTGAGAAAGCATCCCAACCGAGAACAACCTCACTCTGACCTAGGACTAGGATTTTGATCAGAAAAGGTGCACCTTGGGGGTGTGCTGCATAGCTATATACCTCCAAACTATAAGATCATGAACAACACCTGCAGGACTGTGACTTTGAACAGGAGGACATAAAAGTCTGTACAGGCAAACTATTGGAAGTACAATATATAGCCAAAGATATATTTGGCTATATATTACTTTCACCGGAGAGTGGGTGTGAGGCTATACAGGATCAGGGCCATAAACTAGTCTGGCGTAGCCTGACCCCACCCTAAAAAATCGGGAAGGGTCAGGTGAACCGCGTATCATAGACTTGTGTGCAACAAGCATAATAGCAATCAGATTTCAAAACGTCTCTCGTCATTATGGTTACGTCATTTTGTTTACGCGCGCAGTACACGACGTTGACGTGATGAAGGCGGCGGCATAAATCGAGGAAGTATTATTATACGTACTTCCCAAACTTCTCCTCCTACCTCCCCACCACAACCGACGCATATCACCAGCACATACAACCTCCTAAGCTAGCTTCGTTGTTAACCCCCGGCGCGCATGCGCAGCGAGGGTTACAGTACTTGGGTCTGTCTGTGTGTGTGTGTCTCAATCTCACTTCTCGGGTGTTTGTTCGTCTCACAAAGGATACGACCTACTTAACGGGATCAGGAGCGGAAGGCTCGGCTGGAGACCCAGAGAAACAGAGAGAGGGAACGGAGGAAAAGGTTGAAGGATGGATCGGCACCAGAGGAGGAATCACAGACAACTAAAATGCTGACTCGCTCGTCAACGTCTTAGTGCCCCAGAGGATTGTGGGTGGAGGTGGAGGTGGGGTTCTTTCTACTCTGTATTCATCATTCGGTTCATACTTTCTGCTGCTATAATATATAGCTAAGTCCTCTTTTTGCTGCTTACACTGATCAGTGCCTCTTTTTATGTTCCAGATAGCTGTGTGTATATGCCTATGTGGCCATCCAGGTTAAAACTTCGTTGCATGAGACAAATTTGCGTGCATATTCAAAGCTATCGGTATAATAATTATGATAGACCATATGACACCATTTCAATATCCATCTTACCACGACCTATAATGAATAAACAATGAGATTGACCTGGGATTCAAACTCGGGTCACGTGCGTCGCTTGCTCAGCACTTCGCCCCTGAGTGCCAGTCGTGCACCGTCATGCCACTACAAATTAGTTGCTGGCTAGCTCAGAAATGTTTCATCATTGATTGTAGCTATATACACTCTCTCTTTCTTTACTGAAGTCAAATCGGGAAAAAGTTTTTAAATGTTTCCTCAGAATATGGAGCCGAGGAAATGGTTTATGCAACACCGTATTCAGTGCATCAACACGATGATAGACGTTTTTTCTAACTTCTTCTGCGATTCTTATTAGCTCAGAGACACACCTGTCCTCATATATAATCTCTCTGCATGACTTGGTGTAAGTATCAGTAATTGTGATGCCAACTATAGATAAAATTGTTTTTTTTCTTCGTTTTTTGTTTTTCATGTATTCGGCATAGAATTCATTGATGTTATGGTAAATCACCCTGCATGTGATGAAGAAAAAAACAAGCAATTTTCACTGAGCTCTCAGACAGTGACAAACATGTACGTACATCTCTTTGTTGTATGTATTTTTTTATGACCTCGTAGAAGCTAACTACATCTTCATATTTTTTACCCATCCTTTTCGACCAGTCTTCTAACTCCCTCATAAAATTGATAGTCAATGGAAATCTGTGTTTGTTTTCAACATCCAGTCGTACACCTTTGTCACTGTCTGAGAGCTCAGTGAAAATTGCTTGTTTTTTTTCTTCATCACATGCAGGGTGATTTACTACAACATCAATGACTTTCCAACTAAGCTTCCCGGGGTTGAAGTCATTTACATAGTAGGGCGCTGTGGTCTTGCTGGAATGTGCAGTTACGCCAGCACTAGCACAGGGAGTGGCGGTGGACACCAATGAATCGGGGGTGGTGCCAGCTTTAGAGTGTCCTGGAGTGTGCAAGGAGTGAAAATCGCGATCGGTTGCCGGTAGTGTGGATCGTGGCTGCAGTACGATACACTGGGACTCGCTCGACTCCGAGACGGCACTGCTAGGAACGTGTCGGGGAAGAGGTCCATTTGAGCCAAGGAAGCTTCTCCAATGAGAGGACTTCTGAGAGCTTCCAGAATAGTCCTCCATGTCGGTTTTGGTTCAACTTGCCTCACAAACTCGTCAATGATGTGAAAGAGCTGATCCCGCGGGTCCCTATACTGTTGAAGGATCGAATCCACTCTGTAACTCTGCACTTTCAATCGTTGACCTAACACTTCGGATTTTGCTTGCACCCCGATAATTTTTTCAACTATGAAGGCTACATTCTCTCGACTCAGTATTTAGTCGCGTGTCCAGACCCCGCCCATCAAGAGAGAAATTGAACTTGGTTGTGCTGGAGACTCTCATCATTGTCGTACGGTGGCCGATAGGTGCCATGCCGATTTCCATTCCGTTTTCCATTCACACTTCTGTTTTCCATTCCAAATTCCGATTTTACGTTCCACATTCGGTGTTTATCACCGCGGCCTGTTCCCCATGCGCTAGCGAAGGGAGGACGAGTGAAGTGTGCTAGCCAATACAATCGCTGCTACATGCTGGGAGCGAACTGGGAGCGAACTGGGAGCGAACTGGGACCGCCACGGAGACCCTAGCCTCCTTCCCATGCCCCGAAAAAAAAGGCCGTCACTCACTGCTAAGGGGGCGTTGCGGAACACGTCATGATTGGTATAGCCCGCTCGAGCGCACAGGGTTTAGGGTAAGGGTATATAGTAGTATGCTAACTCCCGCCTGCCTTGGTATGCACCCAAATTTCGAGACGCTAGCCACTCTCTTACCCCTAGCTGCCAGCTCGCAGGTTAGAAAACCGGAAATCAAGAACAGCATTTGGAACGCATCGCTGGAAATTGGAAAATGGAATGGAAAACGGAATGAATATCGGCATGGCACCTATCGGCCACCGTATTGTCGAGTGCATGCGCAGAAAAGCCAGTTTTCGTTCGTGGACACGCGGAATCCACGGAGCTGCGTTAGGATCTATTACATAACATCATGTGATATTTCACGGTCGTGGCAAATACTGCAATCTGATTCGGTGTCTCAAAAGTAAGACTGTCGAGTCAGCACAACCAAGAAACTCACCAGACCCTTTTCCTCTCTTGGGGGCGGGGTCTGGGCACGAGACTACTACAGCAGGCTTAGCCTGCCTGCTGCTAGCTAGAGGCATCATCGATCGATCGATCAGCAGGAGGCTGTGCACACGCGTCATCGCTTGCATCACGTGCGCCTTCGAGATATGTATGTTTGCCCACGTGCGCAACCCAGTCAACCCGCTGAGTCAGCACTTTCTGCAGAAGGCTAGGCTACGAGTGTTCTCTGTGGTACACACTTGGACATTATAAACAATCGAGAGATAACAAGGTCTTGGCCCGCCTGAACACCAGCCAAAGCCACTTCCTTTCGCAGCTGTGATACTTGATTACATTATAACCGACAGCTTAGAAATGTTGATTGTGCGCAACCTCCTCAGTGTCGTAGCTGCGAAAGGAAGTTACTCTGGCTGGTGTTCAGGCGGGCCAAGACCTTGCTATCTCTCGATTGTTTATATGTCCAAATGTGTACCACGGAGAACACTCGTAGCCTTGCAAACGCCGGTGTGTCGTTCTGCAGAAAGTGTGCTGACTCAGCGGGTTGCGTGGGCGAGCATATATACAACTCTAAGGCGCACGTGACGTAGGCGATGACGTGTGCACAACCTCCTCTGATCTCTGACCTTCACTCTACGTGGTCACATGCTCTGCTTGACTGATGCATGTAGAGCAAACTCATTGGCTTACCTAAAACCAAGACTGCTGAATCAGCACAACCAAGAAGTCAAAAACGTCACCTTTTCCTCAGACCAATAACATGGGAAAGGGTTTTGTGGCTCAGACAAAATCAGGAGAGGTGGGGGATAATCAATAAAGAACTAGAAAATGCTTCCAGCTCTACAAATTACGTGGGGGCACTTTCTGACAAAACAGTCTTCGTGCCCCCATCTCTTTGACCTCGATAATGAGTTGGTTATACGCGAGAGTTAATGACAAAAACAGTCCTACTTTGTCTGGGTTGACAGCACGGCTTCGCTTTGCGCGCGCTTGGTAAAAACCGTCACGCATGCGCAAAACATTGCTATATAAAATACTAACACCCCTGGTGTCGCAGTAAACTATAGTTCGCCTCGTGCGGCAATGTCTGGGCCGCAAGTAAATTCGCTGTTCTCTGGAGATCTTTTCACGTACATAAGGAGCTACTTGGACAGGTCCGGTGGTCTTATTAGTGTCTTTCGGCGTATTTCACCCGCCCTACAACAACTCAAATCTGTGCTAAATATAGACGGAGACGTCAGGATCGGGCGCAAATACAGGACCCTGTGTCGAAGCGTTAGACACGGTGTCGAGCAAACGCTAGTCGTTACGGACCTGCTAGATGGAGTACAATCGATGAAGCGAAACAAACCGAGATGGGAGAGGATTGAAAAGGAGCTTAGAGGCGCCATAGAGGGAAGTACTACTTCTGGTCAACAGCAACAAGCGCCGCCCTACCCATATCTTGTCGACTTTGAATCAGAACTGAGTGTTCGCTTGGAAGGATTGTTACGAGCTCAAGACAAGCTTCACTTAGCATGTCAGGAGATAAAGGAAGAAAACAAAGCTTTGAATGGTCGCAGCACAACCAATTCTACATTTACAAGTCTCTGGCAAATTAGACACACACCTTTTGGTGTGCTTGCATTTATATTAGTTTTGGGCTTTACTGGCTTTAGCCCATTCTGCAGTCGGTTGTTATTTGGGCTTTATAATTTTCCATTTGGCCTGACATTTCTCGTTTTTCTTGGGGCCTGCTACAAGTATCTGTTAAGTAGGTATGAAAAGAAGCAGATGATGGAAAGGGAAAGTTTTACGGCAGTTAACCATCTTGTTTCGGAAATCGTTGATTTGGGACAGATACCTGTTAGAACAGTGGCTCGGACAAGTATTTTTTTACCGCAAGTGAGATTGGCTGTTGAACGATTTTTCAATGAGAACACTGAACTGGATCATGAAAAGATAACAGCACACAGAGCTGAACTGAAATGCTTGATTGCTAGCTTATAGAACTGAAGAGTGTAGCTTTAGTCTTTAGACGCTTTGTAATGTTCAAACTGTTCATTATTATGTCTATGAAGTTTACCTGAATTACGTTGGTATTGATTAATTTTGCAGCTCCCATTTACTAGTATAGCTACTGCTCTTGACAGGGTTGCTTTTTGCAGGTGGTCTTGTACATACATATCTCTCTTCTGATTGCAGTCATATAGTCTTGCAGGTGGTCTTGGTTCAGACATAACTCTCTTCTGATTGCAGTCATAGTGCTGCAGGTGGTGTTTATTTCTCCTCTGATAATCATAGTCATGAAAGTGGTCTTGGTTCAGACATAAGTCTCCTCTGATTGCAGTCATAGTCTTGCAGGTGGTCTTGGTTCAGACATAACTCTCTTCTGATTGCAGTCATAGTGCTGCAGGTGGTGTTTATTTCTCCTCTGATAATCATAGTCATGAAAGTGGTCTTGGTTCAGACATAAGTCTCCTCTGATTGCAGTCATAGTCTTGCAGGTGGTCTTGGTTCAGACATAACTCTCTTCTGATTGCAGTCATAGTGCTGCAGGTGGTGTTTATTTCTCCTCTGATTGCAATCATAGTCTGCAGGTGGTCTTGGTTCAGACATAACTCTCTTCTGATTGCAGTCATAGTGCTGCAGGTGGTGTTTATTTCTCCTCTGATAATCATAGTCATGAAAGTGGTCTTGGTTCAGACATAAGTCTCCTCTGATTGCAGTCATAGTTCTGCAGGTGGTGTTTATTTCTCCTCTGATTGCAGTCATAGTCTTGCAGGTGGTCTTGTACAGACATAACTCTCCTCTGATTGTAGTCATAGTCTTGCAGGTGGTGTTTGGTTCATACACAGCTAATGGATGAGAGTCCTGCAGGTGGTGTAGATTCAGCAGCGCTCATCAGCTAGCTACAGATTTTAGAAAGTTTTGTATGTGAGACAATAATTTTTGCTATATAGCTCTATAAATTCAGGAGCTCCCCTGGATCAGAACCACAAATGTCAGTAGCTAGTAACATGACATGCATCAATGGCGTGGCATCACAACGCCAAAGTCGTTCAACGCGCGCAAATAATCATTGTGCTGCTCTGCGCTAATAATCCAAAGGTCACCGGTGTAGTTGACAACGATGTGTTCGGCAACACCAAACGCACATATATAGATGCACTCGACGACGCATGCGTGCCCCGTCGCTAGCCCGCTATAAAAACGCTCGCTCACTCACACTGCCCACCCACACCACACCGCGTTTGCGAAAAAATAATGGCATCTATTGCTGAACTTCTTTCGTCGGAGAGCCGACGGTTGATGTTGGTGTCTTCCTTACAACATTTAGTACAGCATCCTGGAGGACTAATATCGTTCCTAAAACAATTGTTCAATGAGAGTTTGATTAATCTTAAGTCGGACGACGTCAGAGCACGAGCCCGGTATCATCAATTTCTTCGAAAAATGCACGAACTTATTCTTGCAGTAAACATATATAAGGGGGCAGTTGATAATCGACCTTCTTGTAAGAAAGAGCGAACAGATGCAATTTTAATGGAGCTCAATTGTGAAGAAGAGCAATATGCAAAATTTGACAGGAATGATGAATCCAGATTTCCAAGGACAATTTCATTTATACATGAAATGGATTTGTGGAAAAAAAGAGTAGAAAAACACTACAAAAGAGTCAAGGAGTTGTTCAATGACTTCCTAGAGAAAATAGAAAAAATGCGTGAGAGTGCAGAAGATACTGCAAGTACTTTAAATATAATGAAACGGGAGCGATACCAGCGTTGACTGTACTTGGCGCCATAGTAGGGGGTGTACTAACAGGTGGTGTAGGGCTGCTTGTTGTAGGGGCAGTCTGTGGTGCTGGTACAGGAGCTGGTGTTGGTGTTATTGCATCATCAGAATCTTCCAAAAAGGAGAGTGCACATACCGAGCTGAAAGAAAGGTTACATGAGCTCACCAGCATAGCTGACAAATTACGCCGATTTTTTGAAGAAATTGATAAAGTTTTTGTAAAATCCGACTTACTGGATACAGAAAATAGCGTTATACTCCGTGAAATGCCACTTTTGGTTGACCTAAAGATCCCTTTTGAGAATATTTTCGAACTAATGAAAGTCAAAGTAGATGGTGATATTGAAGGAGTACAAAAGGAGATTGAGAAAATCCTGAAATAAAGACTTATGTTTTACAACATTTTTTATACTACTATATACTAACCTAAACACACTGTGTATTTAAGGTTTATTTAACTTTTTATATACCTACTGTTGTTGCAGTCATTTTGATTTCTGCCTTCCAAGTAGTTTGGCAGTGAGTGGACCAAGCAGCTTGCATTCCCTGGGTTGTGTAGCTTAGGTACAAGCAAAAGGTTGCAGCGTCATGAAAAAGAGGTGGGCAAGAAGATGCCTACGACACAGAAAGTAATTCATAATCCCATTTATTTTCACACATTAGTACGCTACAGCAGAGCATGCGCGGAAATATTATGCGTGGGCGATCTCCACGAAGATAATTATCGCCCACGCACTATTATTCCGCGCATGCTCACGCGCATTAATACACACACCGCGCGCGTTGTATTCCGCGCGTATATATATGCGCGCATATGCATTGGCTCAGCCGCGCCGGCCGCAATATTTACGTCATGTAATTAGCGTAAGCGCGTAGAATACAGCGCTAAATCAGACGTAGAAGGCCAGGCGCGGTGGTCTTGTATATACAGACATAACTCTCTTCTGATTGCAATCATAGTTCTGCAGGTGGTGTTTATTTCTCCCCTGATTGCAGTCATAGTCTTGCAGGTGGTGTTTGGTTCATACACAGAGAGTCCTGCAGGTGGTGTAGATTCAGCAGCGCTCATCAGCTAGCTACAGATTTTAGAAAGTTTTGTATGTGAGACAATAATTTTTGCTATTATTATATAGCTCTATAATTTCAGGAGCTCCCCTGGATCAGAACCGCAAATAACAGTAGCTAGTAACACGACATGCATCCATGGCGTGGCATCGCAACGCCAAAGTCGTTCAACGCGCGCGAATAATCATTGTGCTGCTCTACGCTAATTAATCCAAAGGTCACCGGTGTTTATAGTTGACAACGATGTGATGTGTATATACCCGAATTTTGCCCAACGCACGTAGATGCACTCAACGACGCACGCGTGCCCCGTCGCTAGCCCGCTATAAAAAAACGCTCGCTCACTCACACTACCCACCCACACCATACCGCGTTTGCGAAAAAATAATGGCATCTATTGCTGAATTACTTCTTTCGTCGGATGACAGAGAGATGTCGGTGTCTTCCTTACGACATTTAATGTCGGACGACGACAGAGCACGGGCCCAGTATGATCAATGTCTTCAAAAAATGCACGAACTTGTTCTTGCAGTAAACACATACAAGGAGGCAGTTGATAATCGACCTTCTTGTAAGAAAGAGCGAACAGATGCAATTTTAATGGAGCTCAATTGTGAAGAAGAGCAATATGCAAAATTTGACAGGAATGATGAATCCAGATTTCCAAGGACAATTGCATTTATACGTGAACTGGATTTGTGGATAAAACAAGTAGAAAAACACTACAAAAAAGTCAAGGAGTTGTTCAATGACTTCCTAGAGAAAATAGAAAAAATGCGTGAGAGTGCAGAAGATACTGCAAGTGCTTCCACACAACGAGAAACTGGGAACGAGAAGCAGTGTGACTGTACTTGGGGTGACTGGCGCCATAGTAGGGGGTGCACTAACAGGTGGTGTAGGGAGCTTGTTGAGGGGCAGTCTGTGGTGCTGGTGCAGGAGCTGGTGTTGGTGTTATTGCATCATCAGAATATTCCAAAAAGGAGAGTACATATACTGAGCTGGAAAAAAAGTTAGATGAGCTCACCAGCATAGCTGACAAATTACGCCGATTTTTTAAAGAAATTGATCATTTTTTGGTAATATCCTACGTACTGGATACAGAAAATAATAGACTCCTCCATGAAATATCTCCAGAAAAAGACCAAATGCCATTATTGGCCGATCTAAAGACCCCTTTTGAGAATATTTTCAAACTAATGAAAGTCAAAGTAGATGGTGATATTGAAGGAGTACAAAAGGAGATTGAGAAATTCCTGAAATAAAGACTGATGTTTTACAATATTATTTTATACTACTACTAACACTGTGTATTAAGGTTTATTTAACTTTTATCTTATATATATACCTACTGTTGTGCAGTCATTTTGATTTCTGCCTTCCACGTAGTTTGGCAGTGAGTGGACCAAGCAGCTTGCATTCCCTGGGTTGTGGTAGCTAGGTACAAGCAAAAGGTTGCAGCGTCATGAAAAAGAGGTGGGCAAGAAGATGCCTACGACACAGAAAGTAATTCATAATCCCATTTATTTTCACACATTAGTACGCTACAGCAGAGCATGCGCGGAAATATTATGCGTGGGCGATCTCCACGAAGATAATTTTCGCCCACGCACAATTATTCCGCGCATGCTCACGCGCATTAATACACACACCGCGCGCGTTGTATTCCGCGCGTACATATATATATATATGCGCGCATATATATGCATTGGCTCAGCCGCGCCGGCCGCAATATTTACGTCATGTAATTAGCGTAAGCGCGTAGAATACAGCGCTAAATCAGACGTAGAAGGCCAGGCGCGGTGGTCTTGTATATACAGACATAACTCTCTTCTGATTGCAATCATAGTTCTGCAGGTGGTGTTTATTTCTCCCCTGATTGCAGTCATAGTCTTGCAGGTGGTCTTGGTTCAGACATAACTCTCTTCTGATTGCAGTCATAGTTCTGCAGGTGGTGTTTATTTCTCCCCTGATTGCAGTCATAGTCTTGCAGGTGGTGTTTGGTTCATACACAGAGAGTCCTGCATGTGGTGTAGATTCAGCAGCGCTCATCAGCTAGCTACAGATTTTAGAAAGTTTTGTATGTGAGACAATAATTTTTGCTATTATTATAGAGCTCTATAATTTCAGGAGCTCCCCTGGATCAGAACCGCAAATAACAGTAGCTAGTAACACGACATGCATCCATGGCGTACGTGGCATCGCAACGCCAAAGTCGTTCAACGCGCGCGAATAATCATTGTGCTGCTCTACGCTAATTAATCCAAAGGTCACCGGTGTTTATAGTTGACAACGAGGTGATGTGTATATACCCGAATTTTGCCCAACGCACGTAGATGCACTCAACGACGCACGCGTGCCCCGTCGCTAGCCCGCTATAAAAAAACGCTCGCTCACTCACACTACCCACCCACACCATACCGCGTTTGCGAAAAAATAATGGCATCTACTGGTGCACTTCTTTCGTCGGAGAGCCGACAGTTGATGTTGGTGTCTTCCTTACAACATTTAGTAGAGCATCCTGGAGAACTAATATCTATTGCTGAATTACTTCTTTCGTCGGATGACAGAGAGATGTCGGTGTCTTCCTTACGACATTTAATGTCGGACGACGACAGAGCACGGGCCCAGTATGATCAATGTCTTCAAAAAATGCACGAACTTGTTCTTGCAGTAAACACATACAAGGAGGCAGTTGATAATCGACCTTCTTGTAAGAAAGAGCGAACAGATGCAATTTTAATGGAGCTCAATTGTGAAGAAGAGCAATATGCAAAATTTGACAAGAAAGATGAATCCAGATTTCCAAGGACAATTGCATTTATACATGAACTGGATTTGTGGATAAAACAAGTAGAAAAACAATGCAAAAAAGTGAAGGAGTTGTTCAATGACTTCCTAGAGAAAATAGAAAAAATGCTTGAGAGTGCAGAAGATACTGCAAGTGCTTCACACAAAGAGAAACTGGGAACGAGAACAGTGTTGACTGTACTTGGGGTTGGACTTGGCGGCATAGTAGGGGGTGTACTAACAGGTGGTGTAGGGCTGCTTGTTGTAGGGGCAGTCTGTGGTGCTGGTGCAGGAGCTGGTGTTGGTGTTATTGCATCATCAGAATATTCCAAAAAGGAGAGTGCACATACTGAGCTGAAAAAAAAGTTAGATAAGCTCACCAGCATAGCTGACAAATTACGCCAATTTTTTGAAGAAATTGATAAAGTTTTTGTAAATCTTGCTCTACTGGTGAAAGAAGAAAACACTATACTCCGCCATGAAACATCTCCAGAAAATTACAAAATGCCACTTTTGTATGAGCTAAAGACCCCTTTTGAGAAAATTTTCAAACTAATGAAAGTCAAAGTAGATGGTGATATTGAAGGAGTCAAAAGAAGATTGAGAAAATCCTGAAATAAAGACTGATGTTTTACAATATTATTTTATACTACTACTAACACTGTGTATTAAGGTTTATTTAACTTTTTATATTATATATATACCTACTGTTGTTGCAGTCATTTTGATTTCTGCCTTCCAAGTAGTTTGGCAGTGAGTGGACCAAGCAGCTTGCATTCCCTGGGTTGTGTAGCTTAGGTACAAGCAAAAGGTTGCAGCGTCATGAAAAAGAAGTGGGCAAGAAGATGCCTACAACACAGAAAGTAATTATTTTCATGAACAGTACACGTGAGCATGCGCGGAAATAGTATGCGTGGGCGATCTCCACGAAGATAATTATCGCCCACGCACAATTATTCCGCGCATGCTCGAGCGTATTAATACACACCATTAATTGGGGATTATTCCGCGCGTACGTATACATAAATGGCCGGCTAAGCCGGCCGCAATATTTACGTCATGTAATTAGCGTAAGCGCGTAGAATACAGCGCTAAATCAGACGTAGAAGGCCAGGTGCGGTGGTCTTGTATATACAGACATAACTCTCTTCTGATTGCAGTGCAGGTGGAGGGGAGAGGGGAGCAGGTGGTGTTTATTTCTCCCCTGATTGCAGTCATAGTCTTGCAGGTGGTCTTGGTTCAGACATAACTCTCTTCTGATTGCAGTCATAGTCTTGCAGGTGGTGTTTATTTCTCCTCTGATTGCAATCATAGTCTTGCAGGTGGTCTTGTACAGACATAACTCTCCTCTGATTGCAGTCATAGTCTTGCAGGTGGTCTTGGTTCATACATAACTCTCTTCTGATTGCAGTCATAGTCTTGCAGGTGGTGTTTGGTTCAGACATAACTCTCTTCTGATTGCAGTCATAGTCTTGCAGGTGGTGTTTGGTTCATACACAGCTAATGGATGAGAGTCCTGCAGGTGGTGTAGGTTCAGCAGCGCTCATCAGCTAGCTACAGATTTTAAGTAAATAAGCGGATAAATTTGCATATACACGTGCTGATATATATATCGGACGTGCTGTATATATATAAACCAGTCCATATGTTTTTAGACCAGTCTATATAGAAAGTGACACGTCTATATACATAAAACCTAACACTGGGACTTTTGGAACGGATGGCACCCCATACAGGCGTGCCTAACACAGCCATGTTGTGAAGCGTTTTCACACCGAGTAATAGGTTAGTTTTCTACCCTTTTTAGGAGCGAGTTCCACCCACTGCACTGGCGCGTTGCGCGGGAGTCTGCGCATCTGATCGGAGACGATCTCGACCACGCGGACGTGACTCGCTCGCTACAGGCACGCATCAATTAATTCGACTATCGCTACGTGGCAGAAGGGTATAAACTTATTAAACGTGCTGAGTCAGGGTTCTGGTACAGTTCCGAACACAATCACAGGACCCACCGCATTGAGAGGTTCAATATTACGGCATCAGTTTTAACTAAACAGCCTGCAGGAAGACATTGGGCACAAAGGTGACAGGTCCTCTGACTACTTCACTCTGCTGAGTTCAATCTATACTAGAGAGACATGCAGCCGAACTACATGAACATAAAGCCGAACCCTGCATTCGTCTGTATGGCTCTAGGAAAGTAGAGAACTTCACTGTAGGATGCCTAGCCGTGTTTTTCAATTGACAGTCCAGTTTTTAGTTACCTTCACAACTCTACTAGGCTGACTATAGAGATGGGAGGTGGCTAGTGAAAGGACCTGAACACTATATATGGTCTATAGAAGCCCCCAGTCGGCCATGTGATTATCTACATCCTCACATGGGCTGTAAGTGTTATATACTGCAGTAGAATGAGAGAAATAGCTATACACTTTTTGATCAGCACAGGCACCATTTTCACCCACACCTACCCTCCGAGTTTGAGCAAGTTGTAAACAAGCTGGCAAGGGGCAAATGTACACACCTGTGACTAAATTAATTTCATAGCCGAGTCTGCTGACGAAGTTCAGGTGATTAGGTGTCGACAATGATTTCTAGACAAGATGGCACACAAGGCAACATGACACACCATGAATGTGATTCAGCAATCAATGAATGTTTCGTAGTGTCTAGACATGCATGGGACTGACTCTGAATTCATGGCAATGATATCATACGTTTTGTTACTATTAGGTGATGAAGTCATGTACAAGCTTGTACACAAAATGTGCAAGCCTCAGCACCAAAGTGTGCAAAGCTGTTGGGACCTCCAATTTGAGAAGATATCTTTGTTTATCAGTCCAGGGTATGAGGCTAAGGGGTTTGCTGGGGGAAAAAACACCACCTGCTAGACTATGACTTGCATCAGAGAAGACATGGAGTCTGCACAGTCAGTTATGCATGAGGCTAAGTGGGTGTCCCTATGAAACAACACCACCTGCGCTGGACTATGACTTAGATGGGAGAGACATGAAGTCTGGTGTAGCTATACATATATAAGGTATACGGCTATAAGGGGTGTGTTGTGAACAGCTAACGGGTTTAGACAACACTTGGGGCAGGACTATGACTTACATCAAATGAGATGTTGCGTATTCTAGGAATTACTATGACTTGGATTATGTATGAGAGGTAAAGTCTGTTCGGTCAACTGCATTCTGTAGCGTAAAAAGACATGTGAGAAAGCAGCCCAACCGAGAACAACCTCACTCTGACCTAGGACTATGATTTTGATCAGAAAAGGTGCACCTTGGGGGTGTGCTGCATAGCTATATACCTCCAAACTATAAGACCATGAACAACACCTGCAGGAGCGTGTGACTCTAGCTTGCCTATGTCAGAGAGACATGAAGTCGGCACATGTCACACATTGGAGGAAGAATATATGTATAATCATGAGGCTAGTGTCCCTATGAAACAACAACACACTGACTGGACTATGACTTAGAGGAGAGAACATGAAGTCTGGAATGTCTACCTAATACAGATGGCAGAGAGCTCAGTTAAAACTAGGATATTACGCGCTATAACGTGAATGTATGTGTGACAGCTACGGGTTTAGAGACAACACCTGTGGCAGGACTATGGCCTTACATCAAATGAGATGATGCGAACTCTAGGAATGACTATATGACTTGGAATGATATAGAAAACACACACATGTATGAGTGAGAGGTAAAGTCTGTTCTCGGTCAAACTGCATTCGGTAGACGTATAAAAAGACATGTAGAGAAAGCATATCCAATCCTTTTGAGAACAACCTCACTCTGACCTAGGACTATGATTTGATCGATCACGATAAGAGGTGCACACTTGGGGTGTGTGCTGCATAGGTATACACCTACCCAGAACTATACCGACCATAGAACACAACACCTGCGCCAGGACTATGACTTTGAACAGGAGACATAAAGTCTGTACAGGCACAAACTATGCATTCGTTGGTATTACTTCACCAGAGACCGTGGGAGAGTGAGGCTGATAAAGGAGGTGTGCAGTTAAAAACAGGGCCAGGCCATAAACTAGTCCGGACCACACCCTCACAAAATCGGGATCAGACACTTGTGCATACAAGCAGAAGAGCGGGCAGTCTACATGTGAACCTCCAATCAGATTCAAAACGCGCGTCATTATGGTTGTCGTCATTTGGATACGTCGCGGAGATAGATGTAGTAGTTAACGCACTCGACGTTAGCCGCCATCCAAGGACAGAAGGACGAGACGCAGAGAATCGAGGAGGATAGCACTTCCCAAACGTCTCCTGTCACAGTGTCTCCTACGATCTCCTCTCCAGACACCGCGCATATTTTTCATTATCTTCTTGCGCTAACTGGCCTATGCCCTGGCCCGTCAACTAAATTACACACTCACTCCTCAACCACAAAACTCGTGTGAGACTAGTGACCCAGTAGGCGGGCGGAACACATGGCGGGTGACGAACCACCAGTCGGCTCTTGAGTTGTAGCGTCGTCGGCGCTTTGATGTGTGCTTCATCTACCCTATGACGTACAAGGTCCGGAGATAGAGACGTGAGCAGTGTCATACAGTCGTCAGCGACTGAAGGCACGGCGCAGAGCCAGTTGTAACACGCAGAGAGGATAGCTCGATCGCGGCGTGCGACGCCCCAGGGGTGTCACAGGTGTCGTATGCAGATTACGCATGCGTCCGCAGATGAGAATTGCTGCAAAACGAACCGCCGCGGATCGGCGCAGAACGCCGATCGTGACGAAAGAGTGACATCGTTGAACGTCAGCACATACACACGCCCTCCTAAGCGTAACGTCACCGATCGCAGGGCGGACATTTATCCGATCTGAGATTCATCCAGTTGTTCAGAACTGCTGCATACACGAGTATACCAGTCGAAGGCAGGGCGAACTAAGCTACGCACCAAGACATTCGGGCGAGAGTTGTTTGGTCTTTGTTAATGTGTCTCTAGGAGCGACTGAAAGGCCGACAGTAGACGAAGAAGTTTCCCAGGTGTAGTCACTCCGTCCACCCAGTTGCACATGCGAGTCATTACGTAGTCTACTACTTCGGTCAAAACGTCCGTAATCAGTAACTGCGAGAAATACTACCAGTACAGTAACGTGTCATCGCCAAACTGCGACATGCGCTCAACTAAATATTGCTGTCGCTCTGTTGCTGTGACCACACCCGCTGTGACCGATACATTTCACTATCTAAGATGGCACAAGGGGCTCGTGAATGCTATTGCTTGTCGCGGTGATGACTCAGCTGTCGCACCACTAAATTTTCAAAACTCCTGTATATATATATCTAAGTGCGCCTCCTTGTCTCCAGGTACAATGCCATGAAGTTAGGTGTACAATAGCGCTCAGATGATTCGTGTACATCCCATGCTTTGACCGATCCCACATTCGCTCTCTGATATTCGATACTGGCACAAGAGCTGAATGCTCTGTCGGCGTGTGAGACTGCTGCACTATTAATTTCACAAAAAGCTCCTGTTATATTATATAATATCTAATTCCCTCAGGTGGTACCATGCCATATACATTGATGCGACGTGAAGTTTAGTCTAAGTCTGTCGGTTACAATAGAGCTCATCCCAGATGGTGAACTGCGACGACACATTTAAGACATGAACACGAAAACCTTTATCTCAACAAATTGAGCCCAGGTATCCTTATACCCTCTATAACTCTTCGGAGAGTTAGTGAAATATGGGAGTAGTTAGAACGTGCAATCAATATCTCACAGTAGAAGAAGCTTTCAGGATATATATGAAAACAGTGACGAAGCAGCAGGAGCGGCAACAAACATCCACAAAGTCGTGTGGATTGTGGAGGTGCAGA